TGGAAGGTGAGCACTTGGATTAGGTTTCAGGACCTCAAAAAATTAAAAAATTAAAAAAGCTAAAATGCCATCCTAGAGGAGCAGATTCTCTCTTTTTCTGTCAGTACACTATGAGTATCACTTGGTCATCAGCCTAAATACTCAGTTAGCTATTCTCTAATTCCTCAGATTAATATCCACTTTAAGACTTCTCGTCAGTAGTGAATATAGTGGCTGTGCTTTAAGCAGATAGAGATCAATGTGAAGTAAGCTGAAAACTCAGGCATTATATACTCTCAAACTGGATGCCCAAAATTAGCAAGACAATTCAATAATTTTGGGAGATCGCTCATGTCTCAAGTATAATATTGGAATAAATAAAAGCTTGAACTCTCCCAAAATTGAAAGTTAATGAAGCACTGCAATGAAAATATTATGGAAACTTCCAAGAGAGTTTAATTCATTACAAGGTGTGGGTATATTTTGCTAGATATTGCATGAACACACAGATTCAGAGAGGATGATGAAAAGAAATAATAGTTACTTTGTGAGAAGGACAGAGGTGAAACAAATGAAACATGATCATACAATTAAATGTATAAAGGGGCTAAACCAACCTGTCCAGAAACTGGTCATCATTTCTTAACTTTTGGATGCTTTTCTTTCCCACCATTACGTTCCACTGTCATTACTGCATAAGGTTATTTCCCAACAAAGAAATAAAGGCCTTAAACATATCTAAAATTTTACTGTGTCTTGAATTGTCTCTTCAAGTCATCAATAATGTTCAGCTTCCCAAACAGGTCTCTGACACAGAGGTGCTCCCCAAGGAATATTAACCACTTCTGGGGACTGCAGCAGAAGAACTGTTGAGGACAGTTTCCTACTCGGTCTCCTCCATTTCTCCCCCCATTCAGACAGAGGCATTTTGGTCCTAGCTTAAGTGAGACAGACAAGCCATATCCAAATGATGGAGAAAGAGAAAGGAAATAGTGGAGAAATCCCTGGATTTTTTTTTTTTTAAAAATGGTCATTTATATCTTTGCAGAACTGCTTTAACTACACCCTCCTTTGCAGTCATTTGAGTTAAACGATTCCTAGCAGTTGCAGGCTGTCGCCATGCCCGTGGACCAACTGCTACAGGGAAACGTGATGCACTTTTTTAGTGAATTTCAAAATCTTTGATGAAGTGGGGAAACATACAGGCCAAGAAGATACCCTAGTTATGTTTCATGTTCTTACAGTTGTAAATGTCTGTGCTTATAACCTGCTTCAGTCCTTCCAAATATCAAATTCTTTCCCCAATCCAGTGAGTTCTCAAGAAAGCATCTCAGTAAAACAGTTGTATGAATTAAACACTGCTGAAACAATTTTTTTTTTTTTCTTAGACTTGTATAAAACCAGCCAAAACACTTTTACTAAACTTTCCCCCAAAAGTCTGCTCAGGAAGACTATTATGAGGAAATGTTTGAGACCCAATAGTAACAACTTGGCAGAGTAGAAAAAAGAAAAAACAGAGTATATACTACAATAGAAAATTATAGGCTTAACATGAGGCACAATCATCACAAGTCGTAATAGTGCAAACAGATTTGTAACCCAAAATGAACTTTTACATAAGTTTTATCTTTCTCTATGTTGACAGTCTGTTGTCTAACAGCTCTCTGTGGGACCTCTGGCAAAATCCACTTTCACCAAAAAAAAAGGAATCATTCCAGAGGATCGGTATTGTCCTCTACACTAACAGCAACACTGTCCAGGTTTTGTTAGCTATCCAAAGCAGTAATTTTATAAGTCATCTTTAATTACTGAGTACTTTCTTCTCTAACATTTCTATTTTTAAAATATTTTCAGTGCACCAGAATTTCAGACTAAGGGAAACATAAAGCAAATACAGACGATGTAACATATATATTATGGCAGAATGAGCAATACAAAATCCAATATTTCATCCTTCACTGGAGACTCTGTATTGTTCACTCGGCAATAAAGTGTATAAATTACACTTTGATTTTCTTGTTTCACTTCTCTTTACCATGCCTGGTGTGTTGATGTGTCAAGAGAATTTGCCTTTTTGAAGTTTTGCTGACAGCGTTACAGAACCATTTTCTCTGGAGCACCCTTCTGAAACTTGTTTTTTGAAACCCGTTTTATACTATAACAATTTTGCTACCTCTGCAAAAAATATTACTTGCCTGAGGGTTTTTCTTCTTTCAGTCATGCTGCCAGGGGGCTGACTGTTTCTGATTACTAAAGTCAAAACTCCCTAAAAATGGACTATTCAAGCCAAAGAGCATTTCATATGAGCACGGCAGGTTTTTCACTCACCTTACTTGTCCATATTATTTAGTAACACAGTTACTATGTGATGGAGATTATAAAATCATTTGAGCTGGCTGCATTGACAACCTGGGCAGAAAAATAATTCTATTTCTTGAGATTCTGGAATGCCAAACACAGAATAAAGCATTTGACCACTTAGTGGAGTGAGGCATAAAAGAAACAAATGGATGTATAGGTGACATACACAGACAGGTCTCTAAAAAGTTAAGGTATCAGTGCTGGAATTTCTCACAAGAGTCATTTAACCAAATCTTACTGTTTTCACTATGCAATTGGAAAAAAAGTATTCTATGTTAAACTTGATGAGAAGACTTAAAAATTCTTTGTGCATTCACAAAATAAAAGTATATCCATTAGACATCAAAATGTCCACTGCATCATTTGTATCATTTTCTCTCTGTGAAGTATCACTCCTACATTGTATTATCTATTGTTTCACTGCCTCAGGCAAGAGGGTTTTATCCATTTCCCTGCTAAAGCCTGAAATGTGCATATATGGTATAATACACGGAGGTACCTGAAATTAAGACAGTGTTGCTGATCTGGCAAATTCAAGAGTGAGTGAAAAGATGATGAGTAAAGTATGTAATTGACTTCCAGTTAAATTTTTACTTTCTTTTACCAGTTATCAGAGCATCAGCACACGAATGCTTCCCTCCCCCATTTTTTTGTTTTCTTTTTTCTTTTTTTTTTTTTTCTAAATACAGTAGTTCTGTGTTATTTGTTTAATGTTACAAAAACTTGGGAATTTTCAAACAGAGCATCTGTCTGCTATCTGCTAGCAACAGATAGGTTTAATAAATTATTCCCTGTGTTTAAAGGGTAATGATGTTCCTGGGATAGGCATAGTGTGGGCTGCATGATGTGAGGCAGGAAAAGGAAGGGATAAAGGCAAACCTTCCCTGTACCAGCACTGAGATAGTGCTGCAGTCAACACCTGGGAGTGCCCGAACAAGTTGATTTTAAGATCCCTGTGTAGACATTTATCCAAGAATGGATCAAAATCTGAAAGAACTGTAGAAAACCAGAGCTAGAGAGACTGCAAAAAACTATGCAGTCAGCCCCTCTTCCCTAACCAAGTTACTCCAGGTTTGTCATTACTAATACATGCATTTCTAGCCTATTCTTATAAACCTTCAAATATGGAGGTGCCACACATTCCCCAGGCACTCTTTTCCAGAGCTTCCCTGTTCACAGTATTGAGAAGTCTAACCTCATTCAACACTGCTGTGATTAGCCCATTATTGCTTTTCCTACACATCCATAATATATAGAGAATAGTTTGTTCCATTTTGATTTGTGACAGGTTTTTACATACTCATAGACACTTCACAACTAAACAACCCAAATCTTTCATTTCTTCACTTAAGCCAGGAACCTCTCATCATTTTCCTGTTTTACTACTGGATCCTCTTATGAAAGGAAATATACCTTAAAAAATATTTAATATACTTGAAAAACTATAATATACAGCTTCTGATAGGAAAGGTTGAAGCAATTACAAGTTCTGTGATAGAATGATTAGCTGGCACAACAAAAGCTCCAAAGTAAAATACCCTGAAATAAGTTCATAAACACTAATCTAGCAGCAATGGGTGTCAGCCTCATTCAGCAAGAGATCTTAGTGATTTCACAGTTGAAGTAAAATTGGTTAATCATGCATTGAACTAGAGAGAAGGAAATAAAAACAATCACATCAAAGACAGAAAAAGGTAAACTAGAGTGAAAGAAGATTTTTGAGTTGGATAAAACCATTCTGGGGGATAGGAAGGAAAAAACAAGTTTACAAGAGAATGAGAGGTAAAACAAACAAGTGGAACATAATAGTTTCAGAAATGTACCCAGAAGCCTGTGGAAAGAATTATCAAAACATCTGTGACTGCCAAAAGTCTTGAAAAGTAGAATAATAAATAAAAATACCAGAAAATAACTAGACAGACAGTATAAGTAGCAGATGAAAAAGAAAAAAGAGGAGGTACATGGAAGAGACAAAGAGGTTTCACAGTCTCCCTTTCAGGAATTTTGCCATAGCAATCAAGAAGGACGAACAATATTTCATGCTCTTGTATTTCACAAGAAAATGTACTGTAAAGAATAGATACTGCCTTCACATGCAGCACCTTTCTGTTTCCTACTTTTGTTTGAGTCTGACACAGCCCAGTTTCCTTTTAGTTTTTGTGCCCAAAGCCTTTAGCCATAACATGAGCTCTTGCAAACATGCATGACTTGTTAGAGAGCAAAAACCTGTCTGAACCCACAAAAGCAGATCAGACATGTGACAAACACCTTTAAGCTTTTGGATGAAATCTATTTAGAAAATGGAGGCTAGGGGAGTTAGTGTAGTTTAACAGTTCACATTTGTGATCACCAGCACAGTTTGCATGTTTCATAGAATCATAGAATGATTTGGGTTGGAAGGGACCTTAAAGATCATCCAGTTCCAACCCCCCCGCCACAGGCAGGGACACCTTCCACTAGACTGGGTTGCTCCAAGCCCCATCCAACCTGGGCTTGGTCATAGAAACATTCTGAGCTTGACGATGGATGTTCATATTGGAAACGGTGTGTGCTCCATATTGAGATTCAGGCTTGTGTAATAGAACACCAGTGGGTGTTTATGCATGCTTTACTTTAAACAGAGAAAAATAAAGATGAGAAAATTAATAAATAGTGATTACCTCAGAGCAGCAGTTTTCCCATTTCTGTGAGTACATGTGACCTGCCTGGTTTGGTATCCAATTTGTATGTCCCAATATTTGTTCTCCTGTCTATTTTGTCTGTTTCTATTCCTTTTCTTCTTAATTAACTCACGAGCCTCGGGATCCCGAACTGCCTTTTCTCTGTCCTTTTCCTTGTCTTTATTCTTCCCTCGTTTCCTCGCTTGCCTTATTTGTCTGGAATGGGGCACAGAGCATGCGCTCCAGGGTCCCACGTTTAGGCTATACAGGCTTTCTTCAGCAGCGCACGGGCTCGACTGACAGATCTGAAACTCGGTGAGGTTAGGACAAGCAGACCCACCAAACTGTGGTGGAGCCACAACGTGCCGAGTTCGATGCTGAAGCCCGTTGCCACAGGTCTTGGAGCACTCCGACCAGGGGGCGAATTCAGCCACAATGCAGTCCTGCCGGCACGGGATGAGGCACGCCTGCTCCTGGCGGGGCTTCGGCTCGAAGTACTCGCAGATGACATCCTCAACCAGCACCCCATTGGACTTCTGGATACAGGTGATGTCCCTTGTCTGGATGCCTTCCTCCCCTCTGAGACACTCCAGGGGCTTCTCGTGGCTGCGGGAGAGGACAGGCCGGCACTGGTTCCAGCTGCCAATCTGCCAGTCGTACAGGTCCTTGTGCCAGTCGCAGACCCGAAAACAGCTCTGCTGGTTGTCCGGCCGCTCCAGCTGCTTGCAGTTCGTGGGCAGCGTGGTCCAGCCCTCCACATGGGCGCACCACACCGCTCGTGTCTGGATGCCGCCTGGACCGCATTCATCTCCCATGCATCTCCCCCACGGGCCTGGAAAATAAGAGAAGATGCTAACTTTTCCCACTTGATTATTTTTCTGCCGTGATGCAGAACCAAGCTCGCAGAAACAGTTTGTGTTTCCTACATCTCCAAAAATTTCTTCAAGAAACTCAAACTTGGAAGACACAAAACAAGTACAGGATTATTCTTCAACTCTTATTTTTATGATTACAGGTGCATTTCACTTTTTGTCCGAGATAAATTGAATATTTAATTTCAAGAACACACACAGGAATTAATCATATTAGAGAACTAAGAAATCACAGTAGTCATGTGATTGACTAGAAAGATAGGAGCCGAAGTCCTCCTTTCCAAGGCATGAATCTAATCTCTCTCACCTGTATGAATACCCCTTCCTGAAGTATTTTGGGTTTTACTTCACATTTCTACTGCACTATTCTTTATATGCTGATGCCAATTAGTATTGCATTCTTTTCCTTCCATATTGTGTTAAACAAGAACACCATACAACATATTATATTTTGAAAAATAAAGGTAATTTCAAGTAGGCCACTTCAATTCTTTCCTTTATTATAACTAAAATAAAAACTAAAAGTCAGTTACTGAGTGTTTGTTCCACACAATCTGTGAAATGATTATACAGAATAAGTTCTTGAAGACAGAGACATACCAGCTGGTAGCTCTCCAAAGAACAGAAGTTATTGCTTTTTTAAAATCTCTAAGGTCTATGGTAAATACTCGACATGTTTTTATAATTAGTGTCAACAAAACCAATAAAACCCTATATCTTTATAAGCTGATATGGTTGCTTTTTCCATTATTAAAAACTGTAATATTCACTCAGTTCAACTCACAAAATCCACAAATTGGAGGCTAAAAAAACCTGTAATTTTCATATTTTTTAAGGCCTCCTCTCATACACACCATGCATTGACTTACTATGAAAGAGAAAAAGAGCAAGCACTTCAGACAAAAAACTGTAACTATTTTCAAAAAAAACGATGTCTATCTGCAGACAGTTGGTCACACAGAAGAAAATTTCTCTGACTGTGGAGTGCTCATGTTCCAAGAAGAAACTGGGGCCAGGCAATGTAATCCTCAATCATCTGAATTATCCCAGTAACAAGACTATTCATGTGAGTAAATTTGTGGGAGATGCTGGGCTGAACCTTTGTTATTCCCAAAGCAGAATAACAGAATAATTCTGGTACTGCACAAGAGCAAGTTAAACAAACTATGGCAGGTACAAAGTATTTACAACACCTTCTTATTGAATGACCGGAAGGAATATGAAGCCACATCTTATTACTGATTCCCATGAGTTTTAAACTTAATTGACTTCAACACAATTTTCAGCTGTTCATCCAATATCAACTTCAGTAGCAGTTTGGGAATAGGCTGTACATTTAGCCTCTGCTCCTCATGGTCTCTTTTTTAAGTGGACACTGCAGCTGAACGGTTTATTTGTAGTTCTAAAATTCTAAGCATTCTCTACAACAATGCCAGCTGGCAGAGACCAGTTCAGCTCATGGAAACTCCTCAGTATTTTTTTGCAAACTAAGTTTGAATTAGGGTTTCCAAGGTTTAGCTAGCTATCCATAAAAATAAATGTATATTAAATACAAATATGTTTCAGTTTCCATTTCAGCAAGATTACCCTACTTTATCTCTAACCAGCCTTCCACAAATGACATAATCATTGTTGCATTTAATTTAGGTGTATTTACACTGAGTTAAGAGATATCATTTCCCCAGAATACCATTTTGAACACTTTCCAACTTTGAAAGAATGAAGACTGCAGAAAAACTCCAACTAAAGCAGAGATACTAAAATAATCGCAAGAGAAATAAAGCTAAATCATTCATCTTGCAAACTATAGATTTCTGCCTTATCAGATCACTGCACCTTGTGTATACTATGTGTGTTCAATGAAGAAATCCCTCTTTTTAAAGATCAAGTCTTTACTGTACTCCAGATGTAGAGTTTGTCCATTTGGGATTCTATCAAATTTCTAATTGCCAATTATCCAGGAAATCAAAATCAAAAATTGTGCTTGACATTAAGTATCTTCAATCCAATTAATTTATGTGTTTATACTAATCCAAATGATAAAAACCTCAGCCTTGATGCACTAACTACTGCCTTGGCGATGTAAATATGAAAAAAATCTGTACGTGTGTGTTGTAATTGGCCAAAACAAGATCTTTCATTAGATTACAAGAATGTTGTTTTTACAACTGGATCCAAAGTAACAGTGAGGTGCACAGATAGGCTTATGCATTAAACTGTATTAGTTTGCTTTCGCTGTGAAGTAGTATGCAATTTTATAAAAGCATTGCCAGTGAGTACCAAACAAACAACATTTACATGATCGTTTGAGCAAACCACTACTCAGAACCTCTAGGTTCTTGTGGTAGTTGACACAGAGCTATTAGTGATGTATCTGACCCTTCCCTTTATCTGCATGAAGTTGATTAAATAAAAAATAATCCATTTACAGTACAAGGCTGCAAGTACACCAAAACCATAAATCTTCACTTTACTTCACACTTCTTTATATGAGTATGACAGGGCCCTGAAGTGAGCCACAGCTTTCGGGCAGGGATCTGTTTAGGCTTTCTCCTTAGTGGGCTCCATCAAAAGACTAAAGGGCTTCCACAGTGGACTAAACCAAATTTCATTTATGCAGAAACTTAAGACTTGTGGATGGGGGGAGGTGTTAAAGAAAGAAAGCTGAAAGCAAAAGCAAGAAACAAAAAAATAAATGAGTTATATACAATTCTTCCCCTGTCCTCTGAGCCTCCATGGTTATTCTATGCTTCCTTCTTATAGAGTGACTTTCTGAGTGGCAGCAAACTCCATCCTCTGCTCTCTGGTCTCTAGAAATCCCCCTCCCCCTGCAGTCTGGCCACCTACTCCTTGATGTACCCCACCACTCTCTCAAACTTTCTCTCTTTTCTATACTATCTTCCCCATCCTTGTAGATAGTTCAACCAACTACTTTTTCAATAAATATAATGCAAATCAAGAACAAAAAATGTAACTGGTACCATTCTTCACAACCAGCCACATTTCTTGTTGGGGTTATGGAAGATATATTAAAAAAAAAAAAAAAAATAGGAAGAAAAAACCCACCCAAACACTTCCATGCTCAGTGCTCCTTTAGAGTAAGGGTTTCAAGCTAACTTCCAATGAAATAATTTCAAAATACCTATATTATCTCAGCAATCTCAACAGCTTCCTTTAATCCAGTTCTCTTATTTTGGGGGAACAGGAAGAATTGCTATTTTATTACTTTCTTTAGCTTTTAAAAAATAAAAATTAAAAAATTTATGTATTTCTAGCAGTATGAACAGAAACTTGCTTTGACCAAAATTATTCTGAGAAATACCAATTTATTTCCCTTTTTCTTTTGAAAACAATTTCTGGCACCCACATTAACCAACACTTCTGTCAGTTTGCAGTTGCGTACTGCTCTGAAATCTTCAGTTAATTTATCCACATTTTCTTGTAGGAACACAAGTCACTGTTGTTAACTCCAAGCACTTGCTGTAGAATCTTGTTCCCATATATTCTTTATATGGACCTCATAATAAGAGAGAGAAGCTCCTCTGTAATTCCCTTTACAGGTACCCATCTCTACCAATTATAAAAAGAGTTTGCAATAATTCACTTCTAATTTAAGTGATCCCAAACACATTGCAAGCATCAAGGCCAGACACGATTCTTATTTGAAAATAATCACAGAAAAACAGAAAATAAATGTCTCTGAATTGAGTAAAGGAGCTTTGTTACTTTGTACAAATAACAAGAAATTCATCCCAAAATAGTCTTAATCCACTGTCATTTTTTTTTCTCATTGCCAGAGATTGGAGAGAAAGCACACAGCACATGCTTATAATATTTCTGTGCCTGCTGGTCAAGGCATCACTGAAGATACATGATGAAAAAACAGTGAAGGCAGAGGCTTTGAATGATCCTCAGAAGTATGAGAAAACCACATACAGATCACTCCCAACATGCTTTTTATATTATATTATTATTATGAGCAGTGCATTTACCACAACATTTGTAAATGTAAAATTTTGGGATAAAATTAATCTCACAGAAACTCATGTAGCATAGATATTCAACCTGGCAATGAAAGAGATCAGCAGAACAGAATGTAAAGAGTCTCACCCACCACCATCACTTAAAGGCTGCAAGAGGTGTGTGGGGGGGTCTGTTATTTCACAAATCCTCAGCTGATGTTAAGCACTAGTAACAACAACAGAAAGTCTTTAGGAAAGCCGTCAGTCCTAATCAAGGCCTCACACGATGCTTTAATTTGCTTTTTATGAATATTCTTTAGGTTCTCTCTTTCCCACTGAAGAAATCTTCATGCAGACACTCTGCTCTCCCTGCTGTGCACTGATCCAGTTACACCTGGGCACTGGGATGTATGTGCGCTCAAACCATTTCACAATGAGGAAAAAAGCTGCTGCTGTGAATGTGAAGTAGTTTTTCCTTAGGATTTTGTTTCAAACGTGCTTATATGAACAAGTCATAGTTTACTTGCAGTAAGCTGTACTTGTCTCCTAGAAATACCATCATTTATCTGGTCTTTGTTTAATCAGAAGGTTACAAATGGCAGCTACGGAAATAAATAGGAATCTTACTTATTTTTTGTTGTTGGGAGCTATTACTGAAGTCTTAGTGAGTTTAAGATATAATTCGTGATTCTTTGTCTTCTAAAGCGATTACTGTAAAATACAGAATTAAGATTTCCTCTATGCTTCTGGAGGATTCACATTTATTTTTGTTAGGGAGCAGGAAAGTAAGTAAATTAACTATTACTGCAAGTTTATTCTGAGATTTCAGAGAGTGATCACAATGGAGTCTAAAAATCAAGACAAAAAGCCCACTAAAGCACAGACAGCTTTGCAGCTAACTAAGAACAAAGTAAGCTATTATAGAACTTAATATCATATATATTAAGATTGTTTCAGGTATTAAAATTATCACTATTTGAAGAAGCAAAAACTTATTT